CCACTTCATCATCATCCCATAAGCAGCAGGTACTACGTGATATACGATAATAATACAAGTATGAACTAATGGTAGATATAGCATCGTGTGCATTAGATGTAATACTATAAGATTTGATGAGTATCTCCTGAATACCCATAGTAGGACCATGTCTTGTTGGAGAAGTGACTAAATAGATATTATCAATAATAAGTAGTGATGTAGTATTATTATTACATGATGATTTATGATGATTATCTATGAATGATACAGACATATGGTGTGTAAGGGGACTATGGTCCATATCTTCATAACCATAATCAGGTAACATCTATACTCATTATAAGACAACTCATCAACTCAAGTATAAGACCATCATTATTACAAACATAGTACGAGCGATATAATAATAATACTGATAATGATGATAGGCTTACAAGATAGACACATCCTAATACTCGAGGAGCTGCACCCAGCTGCATATAATACTCATCATCATAATCACCATAGTAAGCAGAAACATAACTGCATCATGATAATGACTCGAGCCTAAATGGTAGTCAAACTGATGATAACGTATTACAAAGCGCCCTTTTCATTCTTGAATCTACCGAATCTCCTTACCAGCTGCATACCATCGTAACTTTGGGTATATACTTAGCAGGATTGACCAGGTATAGGAATAGATGTTCTTCACCAAGGATCAAGTGACCATACCACAATTCTTATTCTTACAAGCAGAATAATCAAATAGAGCATGTAATGGTGGTGGACCCTGTTTACCAGCACCTCCTTCTTCTTCACAGGTATAATGGATTGAGCATACTTAGCTTTAAAGATCTTAGCAGGACCACCCTTAGCAGGTCCAAAACTATTAGGAACAGTGATATCAGGATTAGGTGGTCGTTCGACAACAGACATGAACACGAAATGATAAACCTATAATGATAAATGGAGTTTATAAACATCAGCATAAGCGAGAGACGTATTCGATGGTGTAATAACCTATAGCAACTTGATACTAATACAGACTACCACTTACCGACTACACATAAACAACAACAACAACAACTGTACATTATCCCCAATATACTACATCTACCTGATGTACTACTACCTACTTATACGTATAGTGATGTGATGATGAGTTGCGAATAAGGTACCTGATAAGGACATAGACCTAGACAAACAGTGTATTCAAGTTTATTACTCCAAGAAGACTATTATAACTTCGATGCTGATTCTACGACGATCATGAGGAATTGTTGCCTAAGTAAGATAATTCTATATACTTTCAGAATCGATGCTAAGAGAGCACTGTAAAGTTGTTAAAGCCAGCGAGGAATACAAGTTTGTCCAAATAGCATAGTCCATGTTCAAAGATAGTACACGAGTAGATCCAATCATTTAATAATAACAACCAACAATGATAATATGGATACCTGTATAGAGCCCACTAATATTAGAAGACCACTTCTTCTTCTTCTTGTTGTTGTTGTTGTTGTTGTTGTTGTTGTTGTTTATATTGTCCACTTGAAGATTGCGAGTCGGTCGTCATCTTTACCAAGTATACCATTATTATTAATGTTAGCATGCAAGGGTTACCTCATGCCTACTCTCAGAAGGATTGTACTAGCAGAATACCATATGCTAGATGTATATACTCATGAGTAGTATTTAATACAAACATTATACTCATATTACAACAGCCGCCGCCGCTGCATTGTCGTCATAGTACTACTGTATTTAGGTGATACATAGAAGAAGAGAAAGGAAACAAACAGGATACTACTAATAGGAGGTATGTACTTATTGGATAGGGATAAGAATAAGAACACTAAAGGTGTACTTCTTATTATCTTATCAACAACAACCTATAATAATAATGCTAGGTAGATCGTCATCATTATTATGGCTAATACACATTATGATACGAAGACTATGACTATGTTGTAGTGTGATAGATGATAATGACATGAGCTTCGAATTAGAATATTCATTTATCATCATCATGATGATGATCATTATGTTGTATGACCTAATAATGGTAATAGTAGCAGTAGCAGTAGTAGTAGTAGTAGGGTAGCAAGCACTACATAATTAGTATATAACTTAGTGCATTGTTCATAGATAATAAAGGTAAACATAGTCTGTGGTCCCAATCTGGTAAAGTTGACTAACCATCCTTTAAATCTAGGAAGTAAACATGCTCAATACTGAGTTGATGCCCAGCCTATTATTAATACAATGCCATTATTCCTTCTGTCATTATCAAATCATTGACAATAAGTGTTAGACTCTTATCCCTTCCTCCTCGATTCGACATAAGCATAGTCTTCAATACATCAAAAGGGGATGTTATCGTAGTTGCTACTATACCCGATATTAATCCTGCTATAATGCTTATCTGGATATTAATAATAGGATGATACAATCCCGGTATTATTACAGTTGGATCGTTGATATATGGCATATGTATAGAATCCCTCTTATTAGTTATATATGTTTTAAGTGTAGTATATGATATGATCTGTGATGCAGTCAACAATGCTGCACGAATAACAGACATAGATGTTCCTCGCCATAGATTTATGTATAAGGTACTATACTCCTTCTTATGTTCATGTGATGACGATGATACCTGAATAAACTAATAAAGTAAAATGATAATTACATCATGTTACATTGGTCATGATGACATTCATGATGATCATCATTGCATTATCTTTCCTCTGATACCTAGTACTACTAGATTGGAGCCTTACCTTGAGTACTTCTAATGGATTACCAATAATGGCAGCAATAGATCCTGTAGTACAACTATCCAATACTAGTTCATTAATAACTATACTATATTACCAGATAATAATGCTGCAGTGATGCTTATAAAGATGAGGAGGAAGAGTTCTGAGTGATAGTATTAGTCTCTAGTGTATGATCGTTATCCCTTATTATCCTAGTATATGATTCCAATGCTGTCTTTATAGGAGAGTATCTTGTAGCAATAAGAATACTTCTTGTCAATAGAGTTTCTTGTTGTTGTTATTATTACAATCCAAGTCTTGCTCCACCATATATAGAAGCTCTAAATAATGCAGGTATACAGCCTTTAAATAAAGCATACATACCACCCTCATTATGGATTATCTAATTATCATTATACTGTTCATTATTATTAATATAAGTTATCACATCTTTAGTAAGAGTATACACTACTGTTGGAGAGAAGGCTAACTTATTAATGTGTCCACTTTTAACAATGTATCTTGACGACGACGACGACGTTATTGCTTGTTGTTGTTGCAATAGTTGTAGACGTACCTTGCTAGTGGTATGTCTAGTAGTAGTATTATTATTACTACCACCTTTACAAGATCTAATGGATGTGTTATTAATGTAGCACATGATACTGATATTGATGATAAGAGTATATGCTCAGTAGTGCTCATTACAGTAGTACATCCCTTATCAATAACAACAAGAGGAGGAGAAGGAGAAGGAGTAGGAGTAGGAGCAACAGTAGATGGCATTATTATTAATAATCAGTCCTTTGATGATAATGGATTAATAACACATTATGTATTACAACTATGTATTCTAACACATGATATAGCAAGATATATGTGGGACTTCTGGATATTGTTAGTAATGTAGACTCAGTACACACAGATTGTATCAGATAGTCCCCATGATGATAGTAGCATAAGAGTGAGTAATACCACACCATTATCACATCATCATACACTCCAAGCAACCATTAACTCCTCCATTTGATCTATGTATAGGAATTATAATGGAATATTATATGCATCTGCATGTATAGGGAGGATGATATCAAGTATATTACATCATCATTATATACTATCGGGTAATATCTTGTAATAATAATAATTCAACAGATTTCCAGAAGCCTAAGTATTAGGTCACTTAAGCATTAAAAGCATCAACACATACCCCCTCTAACCCTCTCGTAGTAATAACATTCATTGCAACTCATCGGTATCATATAAATAATAGCCTAATATGGGTTGATACTCAGATACGAATATAGATACTAACTAATATAGATACTACTAAGATCTAGGTAACTTGTGCAATCTCTATTATGGTGAATTCAAACAATGAATATAAACTCAATACTTACAAAAAGAAGAAGAAGAAACATATTCAAGCAAGCGTCTCCAAAAACATCTGAACAAGAAATGAGATACTTATCGTTGGTAGTAGTTGGTGGTGGTGGTGATGGGAGTAGTATTATTACCTTGGTAACTCGACGTTCCTCATTCTGTGTATCCTCTCTAAGTATCAGATCATGATGAGAGATGTTCAATAAGGGAGTATTATTATTATCAGCCATTAATTGACCATACACTACCTTTGATGAGGATCT